AAAAAATATTATTGGAAGGTAGTTCTCCACAATGTCTTAGATTTATGCATGTCTTCTTAACAGATCTGTTGACAGCATTCGTTATAAAATATCTTTTCTAGAGTGTTTGCACTGACAAGTAGCTCAGGAAAATAAGTATTATGCTTCTCCAAAGCAGAGGGCAGATTTATTTGCTGTTCATTGTAATAAAGATAATTCTGTGGAGCAAATGATAGGAAGGGTTGTTGTTTCCTTGCCTGCAATACAAAGTGCTTGTGCCAAGGGTGACCAGTTTGCCTTACTCTGCCTGTGACTTTCTTTGCATTGGAGAAGTGGGTAGACTGGTTACCCTGGCGTGATGAATCTGCCTGAGACACTGTGTGTATCACCATGGGGTTTGGGAGCTAATGAAATGAATGAGAATTTAATATTCTCTGATATGCTATGAGAAATTAAGTTCTTTAGCTTTGATCCAAGAGTCTTATTTTCAGCTAGTATCCTTAAAGTGATATAAATTGTATACCTAGAAGAATATAAAATAATATACTTAAAATGTGGTAGTCTCACCTTCAGACCAGAGATGGTCTCCCTAAGAAGCTGTTGAACTTATCTGGACAATAAGATGCTGGACTGTATGCTTGGTATATGCTTGCAATGAAAGAATCTTAACTGAACTTGAACTATGGTAATGTAACAAGGCGGAGGAATCCACCATGGGGGGAGAGTTTGGGGAGTGGTGGGGGAAATCCCAGTGCCTATAAAACTATGTCACATAATGCAATGTAATTAATAAAATTAAATGTATATATACAGAAAAGTTTTTAAAAAAATGTGGTAGTCTTGCTTGTTGGACAAGAATTAGAGAAAAATCCAAAGCCTTTTATAGTTCCCTAAAATACATCTAGTAATTGTTGAAATGGTGGTTGTGAGAAAGTCTGCTTTATAATGTGAAAATGGAGCAAGCCCATGGGTTTCTCTATTACTTTCCAAAAGATGTGTAATGAAACAGCTAATTCAGAAGCAAATCAAGTTACAACAAGAATTTGGTAAGAACCTGGCATTTCTGATTTCCATTGCAATTTTTATGTTTCACTCAGAGTTTACATGGAAGTTCATTGCTCAGTTTCCAAACTTTGAAAACTTTTCTAGCTATCTTTATGCTACTTTCATTTAATTAAAAATATTTGAACAGTGAATATTCTCTTTCATTTTAACTATTTCATTCAGAATTAAGAGTTTCTTTAATCTGTCTTGGTAAATGTCCATTAAATATATACTTTGTAACTGTTGATTGTGCTGTTACTGGCATGCTGATTATATTAAGATATTTGCTAATATTGTCAGTTTTTTGGATTTTTTTTGTCTGATTGCTCTGTTATTATTTTCAATTATAATTATGAACTTTGCCTATACTGTTTACCTATGGTCACACAAAATAAGGATTGTCTATGTTTTTAGTTAGTAGATTCCCATATCATATTGATGTATCTCTGTAAAACTATACTACTTGCAGTAATATTTACCCTGAAATCTACTTTGTTTGGTATCAATGAAACTGTATTAGTTCTCTCTTATTTCTTACATGGTATATATGTCATCATTTTATTTTTAAGTTTTCTCTGTCCTTATATCTAAAGTGTATATCTTGTAAACAGCAATTAGCTGGATCTTTTAAAAAAAAATTTTAAATTCTGGCAGTTTCTGTCTTTCAGTTGACGTCTTTGGTCCATTTCTATAACTACCAATACAAACATGTTATTTGTTTTTTGTACATTGTATATGTTCTTGATACCCTATTTTTCCTTCATTATATTATTTTAGATTATTTAGGTGTGTATTTTTCATTTCCCTCTCTTACTGGCTTTTTTTATATAATTAAGAAATTATTCTTTTAGTACTTCCCATATAAAAACAATAGACACACCACCATCTGTTGCAATCTTCCTTAAATTAGTAACTGCCAGTAACTTTAAACTTCTTTTTTTCAGCAACTTTAAACTTCTAACTCCATTTACCCCTTCTCCTCTACTTAACCGAGTATTTTCTTGTACTTTAACACCATGAAACATTAACCTGAGTTGAAGGAAATGAGAACATAGGTTTTTGTGTCCTTCTCTGAATTCTTTGCTCATCTGAGATTTTTGAGGTTTAATCTCAGCTGTTTGGCAGCCTGAGCTCAGACTGCTTTCCCTTCAGTTTAAGAAGATTGTCACTTTCAGTGTGAATTACATTTCCCTTCATCACAACTGAAGAGGATACTCAGGGGAAAAAAAAGCCATAGTATGAATGGAGATCTTACCATATGTGCTTCCTTCTATCAGGGACTAAAAATTGCCTGCTTCTATTGACTTCTTGCCAGTGCCTTCAAACAATTATTTATATATGTCAGTCAGCTTTTATGGTTGTTTTCAGTAGAAAGATTAGCTTGGTATCAGTCACTTTGTCGTGTGTGGCTAAGACTAGAAATCCTTTTGAACATTTCTGTAAACAAAATTTTTCTTATCTAATATTCGGCATACCAGTGGTGTGGTTCATTGTGAATGTGTGATTGCTTTCAAAATCATGCTTTTGAAATAACAGAATGATTCTGTAGCATGCCTCTGTGTTGAATAACTCATTATTTTTACAATACAATCATGTGTCATTTAGTGACAAGGGAATGATCTGATTAATACAGTGTTAAGCAATTTCTTCATTCTACGAATACAGAATGAGCTCCACAAAGTAAGATGACTAAAAGGGACCTCGACCATGCATGCAGTCTGCCTTTGGTGCAAACATTGTGATGCGAGGCATGACTGTAACTAGGAACTCATGGATTTAGATATATTTGTTAAGCTTTAAGTAATTATAGGTATTATTACTCACACGCTCCAGATTTTCCAGTGTGACCACTGGGAGCTTCTCTAAGTTAGCTCCTGGATCTATGTTACCTTTTTGACTATACATCTGCTCAAGACCTGGAATCACCTAGTTTGGCTCCTGATTTCAGCTTACTTGGGTGCTAATGAACACCCTGGTTAATAGCAGATGATGGCTCATGTATGTGAGTCAATATCACTCACATGGGAGACCTAGACTGAATTCCAGGTTTCTATCTTTGGCCTGGTGCAACCACGGCTATCAGAGTATTGTGAAATGAGCCAGCAGATGGAAGATAACTGAACACTCTTTATGTGAAATTAAGTAAGGGCAGGAGATATTTAGTGAATAGAATATAAACAGAACATTTTAATAAATAGGTTTGAAAGATTAAAGGAAGAAAGATAAGTGAAGTGTGCTTCGATTTTGCTAACTGGATGAAGCACAGAGTAGAGCAGAGTAGAAATAAGCAAGCATTGGGGAAACATGAATATGATAGATTTGATATCTATTCACATGAATGTATTTCTCCACAGTTGTTTGTGAGTATAGCTCCTCATATTTTTTAACCTTTGACATCTCTCAGGATAACCTCTCTTCCTCTCACAGATAACAAAAATGTTTTCCCATGTTTTATTAGGAAGCATTTTTCTTGTCTTGCTGCCCTCTCAGCTGTTTACTTGTTTGGAAAGCTTTCATGTTAGCTTGAATAATGTTATGTAGCTAGTGGATTTTTTTTTTTTAGTTTTGTTTGCATATGATAATATTGGTCTTCAGGCTAGCACTGTGGCACAGCAAGCTAAGTCACAGGTTGCAGTGCCAACATTCCATATCAGCACCAGTTCAAGGGCTTGCTCCTCCACTTCTGATCCAGGTCTCTATGTGCCTGGGAAAATAGTAGAGGCCGTTTTGAGAGTGAATCACCAGAAGAAAGAAATCTGTCTCTTCCTTGTTCTCTCTTTCTCTGCAAACTCTGCCTTTTAAATAAAGAAAATAAATCAGTCTCTTCATAAAAGCATTAGTATACATAAGTGGGCCAGACCACTCAGAAGATATGCCCTGCTGGTTTTGGCTTTGCAAGAGGATCAGTACTTGCAAATTGATTTACAGTTTAAGGGAGGAATTAATGAAAAAGTCATGAGGCAGATCCAGGCAACAGGGAGATAGGCAGGATGGTACCAGAATAGCAAAGAACACACAGTGAAGGCAATAGACATTTGGCTATGGGTAAGACACTTGTCTCCTATCCCAGGGTCTGGGTTTGACAACTACCTCTGGCTCCTGAATCCAGCTTCTTGTTAACATGAGCCCACACTGGCAGTGATGAAGAATCAATCCATTGGATTTCTGCCACCCACGTGAGAGATCTGTATTAAGATTATCTTTGGCCCTACCTTGGCTGCTTTGGGCAGTTCATGCCTAAAGTGGATAGGAGCATCGTCCTTCAAAGGAATGAATGAAAACATTTTAAAAAGAAAAATGTATAGTATTGGGCATCAACTCATACCTTTTTGACTTGCTTAAAAGTCTGCCAAGATAATCATGATTGTGTTTTTAATCATCTTGTTATTTCATTTATTCTTTTTAAACTGGCATCTTCACACTTTTCCAAACACAAGTGCTGAGAAGGAGATGGGTTTATATCATTTTAATTTAACCAAGCTCCCTCTAACTGTAGGAACTGGAAACAACTAGGAAGGATTTGGCTATGTTGGTCACAGTAAGGGATACCTGTAATATCTGAAAACAAAATAAAAATACTACTTAGCATTCTGGTTTGCATGACAGACTTTACAGAATGAACACCTTCTAAATGTCTTTTCTCACGGAGAGGCCCTTATGTGATAACCAATTCTGAAAACCAGTGGCTATTTTTCTACTTCCTAACCAAGTGTGATTATAACAAGCTTTTCACCGAGGGATGAGTTACCTGTCTCAAGTGGAGGGATCATAAGCAATTTAGGCCAATGCTTCGTTATGTAAGACAGAATATGTTCAGCTATTAAATCCACAAGAATACTTAACACAGATTCTTAGAGACACCATGAGTGCCTGCTTGTCAATGACCGCTTGCCACAAGTCCATGGGGTGAATGCTATGAACTTATTTCCTTTGAGTAAAAGCTACTCACCAAATAGGGAAATCCACAGCTATCATGCTTAATGGTACAGGAGTATAGTGGAAAGGAATAAGGCCTCCAGTTCACATATCATGCCATTTCTTGGTGATGACCTTGGGGAAACGGATTTTTGAAATTACAGATAGCAATCAAGGTAGTTAGGAATAGCAAAGCGTTTTTTTTTTTTCTTCCTTGCTGCACACATTGGCTACAATGCTTATGAAGAGTTTCCCTGGGCACATGAATCGATTTAATAATGACTGCTGCCAGTTGGTAGCTAGACATCAGACTGCCAGCCTACTCAACAGTGTTGCCATCTGCTATTTGGATTCACAGTGTGTTGCTGCTATGCACCATCTCATTAAGAACAGGACCCTTGTGAGCCATACACAGTAGCTTATTCAAGGGAGCTGAAGCAAACTCCTCCCTAAGCCAAATTTGTGGAGGCTGCATGCATCTCATCTATTTTGAAACTGCTCTGTGCTGAACATGCCGTGTGCCAGTTCATTGTCTCTGATCATTTACGTGTTAGTCTTTCAAGCCAGCTCCTTGTTTGAAATTAAAACCAAAATACAATTGTAATTGTTTTTAAAGGCTTATAAAAGAGATACTCATTCTAGGTTTTTAATTTTAGTGCAGCTGCATCCTGAAATGGTATAAGTTACTGGCTAGCCTAACACAATCATTTTAATAAATTAAGGGAGTTATAATCCTCTGGACTTTTCTGGGTAAGTCTTTTAGTTTCTAGGATTTGTTGTTTGTTTTGTGAAATTGCAACAGCAAAGTTTTCATTTCTTGGAAATGCATTTTCAACTCTTTTCCTACTACACCTCCAATAATCACTGATCACGTTAGAGATCTAAAAATTTTTAGAGAGTAGAATATTTATTCTTATGTTAAAGGAAGATATTTCACAAAGCTCATGAGATGGGGTTAAAGTTTATGCCAGTGCAAAAAAAAAACACACTCCATTGAAATCCATGCATAAATTTTTCATAATAGACATTTTCTGTGAACTTTTTGAAGAAGCCTCATGTATTATTTAGATCTTATCTATCCCCCATCAAGACATAATGGATTCTATAGTACTTTGAACAGCAGAGTTATGTTTCAAAACTAGACTGATTTCAAATTTCAAAGAATTTCATGGATAGGGGTCCAAGTCTCTTCCACCCATTTCCCACACAGCATTTACCATGTTCTCAATCTCTGCTTCCTGACAACCTGAATGTGTGTTTCCAAAATCCTGGACCTGCTGTATACGCTATGAAAAACACTTTTGTTGGCAAACAGAATCAGGAAGTAGGACATCTCAGACTGAGTTTTCTAGGGTGCAGATTCTGAGATTGAGACAAAGTTTAACTCACAGGATGCTTGTAAGGAAGCACTCTTGTAGAGTGCTTTTCTTGTAGAAAAGAGATGAAGCAGTACTTTGCAATTGGATGAGTTGAGTTGCAATGAATGCTCCACAGCAGCCTGGGCCACCAATGGGGGTTCTGGAGTTGAGAGGATCTTCAGGAATGTCTTGAGATGGAAAATAGACTGACGTTGCATCCTTGCACTGAGCCATCACTGGTTATGGGTCACCTCATGCAGGGTGGTTCTGAGCTGCTGGGGCTATTCCCAGAGCCGGAAGCCAGCTGCTGGCTGCCTACAGTCAGCACACCCAGCAACTGTGGTGTGGGTCCTTCTGAGCAGGATCTGTGCTGCACATCCTAACATTTCACATGGGACAGATCAAATAATTTCTTTTGGAGAGTTGTATTAAACATTCACAAACAAATATTCACATGTTGAAGAATCTGGCACAGAAAAAATGTTCCAATTGTGTTTCTCAGATAACATCAATTCATATCCTGTGAAAATAGTGTTCCACAGAACATAATTTGACAAATAGCTCCCTAATTGCACAGTGCTTTGCAGGCTACATTAAAAGAACTACACACAGATGCTTTGTTCCTGGTTAATCTACCCTTCAACAGCAGTCTGTCAGTCCTGCCTGAGAATGTGGGCATTATTTTAATCATTATAGGCTTGCAGATCATATACTCAGGTGTATGCAAAATGGCTTTGGCTTTTCATAGCTTAACTGTGTCTCATAAGTTTTCTTTCTATCTAGTGGTCAGGACACATACCAACACCTCTTCCCCCTCAAATCCAGGCAGATGTAAATATTATGAGGTTATTCCCAAACGTCCATAGAAATAGAGAATTACAAGTTTTTTCTTTTTAACTGCTGCACTTTCTTTAAAAGCCATGCACAGTGTTTTCATAATGTGCATATTTATAAACCATATATTTTATTTTATTTGAAAGGCAGATTTACAGAGAGAAAGAGAAACAAAGAGATTTTCCATCCAGTGGTTTACTCCCCAAATGGCTTTAGTGGCCAGAACTGGACCAATCTGAAGCCAAGAGCCAAGAGCTTCTTCCAGTGCAGGTTCAGAGTCCTAAGGCTTTGGGCCAACCTCTGTTGCTTTCCCAGGTTCTAGAGCCATGTTCTGCTGTTCTTCCGAGGCCATTAGCAGACAGCTGGATCAGAAATGGAGCAACCAGGATACAAACTGACCCATGTGAACAAACATTGCAAATGGAGTATTGATGTACTACACCACAATTCCAGCCCCCAAATAAACATTAAAGATTTTATTTTTTTTATTGAAAAGTCATATTTTACAGAGAGAAGGAGATATAAAGATCTTCCATCCACGGCTGTTTCACTCCCTAAATGGCCGCAACAGCCAGAGCTTAGCTGACCCGAAGCCAGGAGCCAGGAGCTTCCTCCAGGTCTCTCATGTGGGTACAGGGTCCCAAGGCTTTGGGCCATCCTCTACTGCTTTCCCAGGTCACAAGCAGGGAACTGGCAGGGAAATGGAGCAGCTGGGATACAAACTGGTGCCCATATGGGATCCTAGCGCATGCAAGACAAGGACTTTAGCCTCTAGGCTACCACACTAGTCCCATAAACTTATCTTTTAATTTCACAATTACATGAATTTTTCGCAGTATATCTGTACATTTTAAGTAACACAATGCATTGTCTACTTGTCTTAGTAACAAAATATTTTAGGGGCTGTTCCAACAAAATATATCATAAACTAGATCAATTGTAAACATCACAAACATGGTTTTCACATTTTTGTAAGCTGGGAGTCTAAGATCCATTGTATTTTTACTGTGGCAGAAGGAGTGATGAACTCTCTCTTCTTATAAGGTCTAATCTTATTCATGAGAACAGATCCTGATGCCCCAATCCCTCCCAAAGGTGCCACCTGCTGATACCATCACCTGGGGGTTGGGGGGTAGGATTTCAATGTAGGAATTTGAAGGGGGCCACAGACATTCAGGTAAGAGCATATCTCTTCCACTGAGGCTTGCCCAGGCAAGCTCCAGGCAACTTAGGTGATGTCATGGCATGTGATTCTTGAGTGGCATCATTGACAGCTGGTGTCAACACTGTCCTTTCTGTTCCTCACTGATATCACGCTCCATGTAGAACTTGATGAAATCCAGGACCTCTACAAGTTCACCCTGTTATATGTCAGCAGATGTCCTCATTTCTCTAGTTTTTATACAAGGAAAACATTCTCTATCACTCTTGGTCTCATAAATATTATGAATTAGTGCAGGATCTGTATGTCTAAGCATTAAATGCCAGAGTTTGTATCCCAATATTTTGTACCATAATGCCAAAAACAACTGCATAAAACTCCTTCCAGGTCTGAAGTAGGGCATAAGTCTCTCATTTCATAGATTATGTGCATTAATTCTCCCTGGAAGTTCTTTCATGCTCTTTGAATATTCATTCCCTTTTCAGAAACCCTCACAAGTCAGAGTTTCTTTTGTTCGGTGATTTGCATTTTTCTTACTTAATACTAAGATGCTTTTCCTCATATAAGTTTGGAGGAGGCAGAGCACAGGAGGAAGTGGAAAACCAAATATTCTTCCAACATAAATATGATGCCACGATTTTGTTCTTGGGGAGTTAAAAACCAGTAATGAACTCTTTTGCATGTTTCTTTCAGTGACATTTTTGTGGTCTTTCTCAAGGAATTGATATTTTGAGTGGAAAAACAAACATTAAGCGGAGCTTAAGCTCATCTTATCCAAGCCAGGGCAGTGAAGGCAGAAAGAAGACAAAGTTATTTTTAGAGTAAGGAACAGTTTGCCTGTAGAGAAACAAACTTACAGTTCTAATCCTTTATTCTATTCTATTATTCTATTAGTTTCTCATTGTACAAATATTACTACTGTTTCAATTTCTGTAACTTTATGATTGATTTTAATATCTAGAATTTTCCTTGTATCTTGTTTTTCTTCAAGATTATCTTGGCAATTCTAGCCATTTTCCTTTTTTTATATTTTTAGGCCATTTACACTTCCATATATATTTTGGATTTCATTTATTAATTTTCTAATAACTGAGAATTTTTTGGCTGGTTACATACAATTTTGGATCAAACTAAAATAGTTACCTTTAAAATAGTCAGTCTTCCATGAATTAGCATTGTTTACACTTTTCTTTATTTGAACCATATCCAATTTCTGTTAGTAATATTCTCCAGTGTAAAAAAAAAATTATAGGGCGTTGACGCTTCTAGTGACTAAAGTCCTTGCCTTGCATCTGTTGGGATCCCATATGACTGTTGGTTCATGTTCCTGCTCCATCACTTCCCATACAGCTGTCTGCTTGTGGCCTGTGAAAGCAATAAAGGATTGCCCAAAGCTTTGGGACCCTGCTCCCACATGGGAGACCCAGGGATGCTCCTAGCTCCTGGCTTCAGATCAGTTAAATTCTGGCTGTTGTGGCCATTTGGGGAATGAATCAGTGGAAAGAAGATCTTTCTCTTTGACTCTTCTGCTCTCTGTAAATCTTGCAATAAAAATAAGTAATTTTTTTTTAAAATTGCAAATTTTCCAACTTATTCTGAAGTATTTGATTTTTAATTATTGCAAATTTGAAATATTTGAATTAGTTCAATCGATCTAATGCAAGGATGAGTAATTATTTTTTTTAATTCTTTTTTTAAAAGATTCGTTTATTTTTATTGGAGAGGAAGATCTTCCATCCTCTGATTCACTCCCCAAGTGGCCTCAATGGCCAGAGCTGAGC